TTTCAACACTGCATGGTGTCATATAACAACACTGTTAAGTGTTACATAAGACTTAACTGTGGGCGGAGCTTATTTAACACTGTCCAGTGTTGAGACAACACTGAGGAAATCAACACTGTGAATTAACACCAACACTGGGTGTGAGTGTACTCAGAAAGTGTTAAAATAACATTAGGGGGGTGTTAAATCAACACCCAAAAGTTTAACACTGAAATTTTAAMACTCCTGTTTTTGCTGTGAAGGCACACTAAAGGGGCTGTTCTGTAACTTGGCATTATATAAACGGATAAAATTAAAGCAAACACAAGAAGAACTCACTGGTTTGTAGCTGCTGGTGATAAACTTCACTCAATGTGACAAAGCCTGCACATTTTTTTTTCCATCTCGCTGATATTTGAATGTTTGAACAAAGCAGCTGAAAACTCTAGCTTATTTACATGTGCAAAGCTGTATTGTAGATTATGCACAACACCATAACCACCTCGACAGAGAAACACCTTTTTGATTTAATCCACTGGCTAACACTTTTGAAATGAGGCAGATTTGGGAGAGTATTTTAATGGTCGTTTATCATCTGTGCGGTTTTTAGACCTTCACTTGTTTCCTGTCAGCCTGTGAACGTGTCAAAATGCAGCTGTAGTCCTTTCAAGATGCGTTGGAGATGCTTTTGACACAATTAAAAGGGTTCAAAATTTGGAACTGACTTTTGAGTGAAAATTTATCACATTTTTGAACATGTTCAAAATTTAAGCCTCTGTGACTCATGCACTGAATATGAGAACCATTGTGCATGGTGCATTCTAGAGACACCCGATGAAAGCTGTTTCAAAGTTTTAAACTGATACTATTGTTTATAAAAACTGTATGCACATGAGCACAATACGCTGTCATGTATATGCATGTGACTCTGGCTGTTAGAGGTTTCTGACAGTAATGTTAAAATTATTTAGTTTTCAGTCACAGTTCGGTTGACCCTTTTGCTACTTCATGCTGGGGAAGGTCTTCATTTGAATGCCAGTCTTGAAATGTGCACAGTAAGCAAAAGGCACTGTTTATTGAGGCTTGCCTTCAGGAAATTGTTCCATGAAAGCCAAAAGCGGYCATCTGCCAAGAATGAGGAGGGTGGAAAGTCTTCCATGCACAAGCGTGGAGGCAGGAGACAACTCCAGTTCTTCCCCCAAACAGTAGCAAAGATGCCCAGCTGGAGCTTCACGTGATTCTGCGWGGTGCATTATAAATCCTCCGTCTTGTGCACGCTGCAATTTCCTCCCTCCAAAGTCCCAGAAGATGACTCTAATAAAAGCTGAGAAAAAAGCTAGATTTATGTGCGAAGACCATAAAAGCTCAAGCAGATCATTACCCATGAACAAATGTTTTTTTCTTGGCAAAACCATAAAAGGTAACCAGACACTTCCCAYTAATCTTTAGGAATGATGGGTGAGTTTAATCATTTACCTCTGTGCTTGTCATTTTTGAGTTTAACAGGAAAGTTTGAACAAACTGGCAAAAGCTAACCCCAAAATAAAAAACAGATAAATAAATTTAAAAAAAATAAAAAAATACAACAAAACCTTAGAAGCCCTGCAGTCATTTGTTCAAGCTATACACATTTATCGAGGAAAGGCATTTTAGGTTTACAGGAAGTTTCATTACTTCCACAAAAACATTCATTTCACACATTTGCAAAAATAAATAAATAAATAAATATAAAAAACATCAAGACATTACCACATCTAACTACATCTTGCTATGGTCTAGAGCAGGGCTATTCAACTAAACTACTCCGGGGGCCACAGTTACTGCAGGCCAACAGCTGAGGGGCCGAACATCCGGCAATTAAAGTTATGTAAATAAACCATGTATTACAAAGATCTGTTACCTTTGAATTAGTTTATTTTTCAGCATTTAATCATGAAAACAACATACAGAAACCTGTAAAAGTAGGGATAATTAAACAATATCAAAAACTAAAATGTCACATTTTGTCTCTTATTTAACACAAATATTATTTTGACATATCTGATTTGCCAAATTTTTGAATCAATTTTATTTTCACCATTTAATCATGAAAACAACATACATAAACCTGTAAAAGTAGGGATAATTAAACAATATCAAAAACTAAAATGTCACATTTTGTCTCTTATTTTACACAAATATTATTTTGACATATCTGACTTGCCAAATTTTTAAATCAATTTTATTTTTACTTTCATAGTTTTATCTTCAACTGCTTGTAACTTTAACTGTCTTGAGTTTGCATAGAAATGTTTTTAGCAGCTTGTAGCCAAGATTCTTATGTTTCTGTAGATACCAAACTTGGCTATGTTTACTTAAAAGAACTTAGAGTAACTAAAGTAGAAAACCGGGGGTTTGGGCTTAAGAGATGAATGAACCAATTGGCGGGCCTAATTTTGGCCACTTGCGGGCTGGATGTGGCCCGTGGACCGCCAGTTGAATTGTCCTGGTCTAGAGTTATTCATTTAGAGTGAAGCTTAATAAATAAACCCATGAGTACACAGACTTACTTTATAAGACTGTTAATAATAAACCTGAAAAAAAAAAACATTTTCACAGCTAACAGAACCAGTTTGAGTCTATTTGTGTTTGTTTCCTGTTGGTTAGATAATGAGAGATAAAATCTATAAGACATTCTGCATTTTTTTTTTTTTTTTTTGGTATTAGATTTGGACGGAGAGGACGAGCAGTCAGATGACTGACGGAAGACAACCCTTTATGCAAATGATGACTAAATAAAACTCCTTCTGTTCAGATGCCCTGCACTACACCCTGCCTTCTTCCTTTTCCACTCAGCTTGGGCCTGAAAGCAGCTGCGGAAGCCCAACTYAAAATCCTTCAAAGCATCATTTATTTTATAATGATTAGTCAATTGTCAGCAACGGCTTTAAATAGATGATTTCAGAAAATTTGCGCCTTTTTAATTTTTTTTAAATGTGGACTCTTTGTTTTTCTCGACAATTTTTTTTTTAAAAAAAATGTGTACTTTTTGTTTTTCTCAACAATTCTAACTCGACTGCGTAACGCTTTTGTGTGACAGTTCGAGGTGGGCTGATTGCAGTGATGTCCAGATCCACAAAATCCATGTCGAGATCTCGGAGCCGCTCAAGATCCCGCTCAAGATCCCGTTCCTCTTCTCAGTCCAGAAGCCGCTCCCGGTCCAGGAAGCACCGCTACAGGTATAAACCCATCTCTCTCTCTGTTTGTGGCCGTAACATCAGGTGTTGAAGATGCCAACATCCCATCCAGACAGATATTTATCCACGATGAATGATTTGTTGGAACAATACTTGTAGCCGCTGTTTCAGAGGAAGTTCTGCTTCATGGAGCACTCAGYTCCTGAAGATGAYGTGCAACTTTTGACWCAGTTCTGTGCAGCAAATCTTTAGTTAAAATGGRAAAAAATGTGGAATTCTGTGTCTGTTGTAATTTTGTGAAAATTCTATTTATTTTAGTGGAAAYGACACGTGTCATGTTAATAGCTTTTCTTGTTCTSCACAAACGTTCTGTCTGCTCCCTCATGGCCTTATGTCGTCCCGTCTCTCAGGAGTATGGCTCTAATTTGAATAGAGAAAACAGGTCGATTTAATGTGTTTAAGTCTGTCTGACAACTGAAGTTGGCTTCTGTTAAAGAGGAAATTAATTTAAAAAGAGTTGAGATGTTGGCATAAATTCAATCAAATGCTGCTTTCATGAAAAGAGAAAACATTACTTAACCTGAAAGAGAAATATCAGAATATTTTTCAAGCTTTGAATCAAGAAGGTATTTATCCAAGCAGCTTGAGTAAAACATAAAGGAGAAGCGAAAAAAAGAAGCCTCCGTTGGTGTTTGTGGCTATATGACTGTGGCAAAGCAATAAAAAGACACAGTGGCTCTTCTTGTGGTCACTTATAATAAAATCAGATAATATGATTATATTACTTTATTGTAAATTTACATAAAATGGAAATTTCTCTTCAGCATTTAGCAAGAAAGCATAAAGGATGAGGCATGGAAGAGCCACCGTGCAGAAAGTTGACGTGTGTGCAAATGAGTTTTGTGGTGAAGAAGTGCAGGAACACGTTTGTTGCCTATTTTGAGATTTACATAAAACACTACCTTCCCCTGTCAGTCAGTAATCATTTATTTCTGAGTCCACAGGGATCAGATACATCTAACAAAACAACACACTTAAGTAAGTCTGTTTTTAAATACACAGAGATTCTTACAGGAAGTAAGAATATCTGCAAAATTTTTGCAGAGACACAAGTTGAAATTTGCCTTTGAATCCAGTAATTCTTTTAAAAACTCCCCCTAGATCCCACTGAGAAGCTCTTGTGAGTGGGAGTCAAAAGATTCAAGTAGGTTTTTTTTTTCCATCCTCACACGATCCATGTGACTCAGTGCTCCGCCACAGCTGGGCCACAGTATCTGTAGCTCAGTGAGTGTGCAGTGCTGCTTCAGTGCACTGCTGTCTCTCTGTCGCTCTCTATTCCAATGACAAAACACTCCGGGTGAGTTATACACTCTTTTAGATCCTTTTTTGTGGCTTTAAAATGGATTTGCATGCACTGTGGCATGGCTTTTACTACCTCAGTTTACAATTATGTTCGGCAGGAGTTTGCATGCATTTTGTATATAGTCAAACATCAGCATGGTTGTTTTTCAGCTCAAATTTTAGCTGAGAGAACTGAGCTGGTACCAAATTCGTATATTGCTCTATAAACTAGAAAGTCTAACAGGAGAAAAAAAATATATATCTAAGGGTAAGAGTTTAAAACTTTTCTAGACAAAAAACATTTTCACACAAAAAGTTGTGAACATAGTGTCAAAATGCAGTTTCACCTTAACTGAGCATGTTTGTGTCATTTTTTATTGTTTCAGGAAAGACAATAATGTTTATTGATAAAAACTGTGTTAAAGTTTCAGCTTTAACTGTTGGCTTATCAGAAGTGCAGCAGAGCCACCGTATGGATGTGTCTGAAACTGCAGCCTGGCTCAGAGAGTCCTTGCAGCTCTCCTTTGTGGGCCTCACTCGACATGGAAAAGCAGATGTTATACACAGACATATGCCTTGTCACTTCCAGTTGATATATATAGCCTCTGGATATAACTGATTTTATGCTTCTCATGCTGTATKGTTTTATGAAAGGTGTAAAGTTGAAGTCATCGCAAAGGTTTGGGGTCTGGAAAAGTGAAGTAAACAATTGTTTGGTTTGAAATGATGATTTTACATCAACATATTCATTCATCTACAGTTTTATTCAGTGCGATACATATCAACAAAACTGTTGTGCCTACCAGGTTGACAATTTATTTGAAACATTTCCTTTCATGGAAAGGTGGTACCTCATTGGGCTGTGACCATGTAGTGAACAACAGTCGTGAAAGTCTTCGTAATGTCTCCCAAAAAATGTGTTCTGACTTTTGCAGGGTTCTCAACTACTTTGTCAGAGGCATGCAACCCGGTCTCATTAGTTTTGAACATGTTCAGAACGTTTGTGTGACAATGTTTCTCTTAAAATAGTAGAGAAATAGTTGTGGGAGTCTCGGTTTCTAGAGTGACACTGTTGTAATCGGACACCTACATGGGGGCTCTCCTCTGACAGAAAACATCCAAGGCAAATGTCTGGGTCTAAAACCACACTCATGATAATTATTTGCCAAGGAGGGTAACAAAATAATGTGCAAGGCCAAGAATGCAGTCTTGTAAGCCATGTATACGAAAACAGGGAGCAATTTTCAAAAAAAAAAACTTGATGCTCAAATGTGGCCACACAGATTGTTGGTAACTTGTTTGCAAAAATGGAAAATTCATGTTTTTTCTCAAGCTTTTAAGTCACCAACTAGTGCCCCGACAGTCACAGCTGAGTTGGATACCACCTTAAGTCTGTGTGCATGCATCTGCCTGTGCTTTTATGCAGTTTCCATTATGTGGGCCAGAAACTATGTATGTCAACAGGTGGCTGATTAAAAGGAAAACAACTGCCAAGCATTGGGCCGCCATTTGCTGCCAGAGCAGTTTTAGTACACCGTGGCAATGATTATGCAAGTCTTTGAAATGCTACTGGAGTTACGGAGCATCACTCATCCCCCCCACAAAAAAAGTTACCTCAGTTTATGATGGTGGTTGAAAAGTGCTTGACCAACATGGYGATGGGATGTGTCCAATAGAAGTTCATATGAGCTGAGATCTAGTAAGTGCTGAGGACATAGCTTGTGATTTGCTCACTGTATCCTTGTAACTCAAACCACTCAGTGAACCCTGTGCTCAGGGGTATTGTCACTCATTTTTTATCCCTAAAGATTGAAAGATGATTTCTYAAAAGCTTTAATTTTAAATGATATGGAAACGCTACTGTAGTATAACAAAGCTACGAGATCTTGTCACTGCAAGAGTCAAGGGTTCAGTTTTTTATTTTAATATTTCTGCCATGTACTGTATATGTGCCAATCTTTTGGCACATATACAGTACATGGCAGAAATATGTACTGTATATGTGCAGTACATATACATATACATATACATATACACATATACATCTTCACCACATTCTCTCCTCTCTCTGTCCTCTTTTTAATAGCTCTAGGTCTCGGTCAAGATCTCACTCTCCATTTTATAACCGGGAGAAGAAATACCCAAAAGCGTACCAAAACAACCGGGAGTTCCGAGGGTATAACCGTGGCTTCCGGAGGCCCTATAACTTCCGAGGCCGTGGAAGGGGCCAGTTTTTTCGTGGACGCTACCAGCGTGGCGGGGGCGGATATTACAACAACAACAACAACAATAACTATCGCCCAAAYTGGAAAAACTGGAAGCAGTACCCTCAGAAGCAGCAGCAGCAGCAGTTTAACCATTCACGAGGACGATCGCACCATGTGCAGAAGCACTCAGGAAGCCCCCCTCAGGGTCAATCCCATCGCTCTGACCGATCCTCGTCTCCTTTATCCAGACACTCACAGCGTTCTTCCTCCTCCTCACACTCCTCCTCTCCAAAATGCCATCCAGCCTCGATGGTGGCTAATCAAAACCTGAAAGATGTCAACGAGCARCATCTGGCTTCCAATGAAGTCCAAAAGGGAGGAGGGGGGGATGAGGAGCCAGGAGAGCATGTTGGGGTGTTGGCAGGAGAYGCTAGAGAAGGTGCAGACTGTGGGAAAACTGAGAGGACCTGGCAGAGCCTGACAGACTGCAGCAGTCCAAAGAAAAACAGTCCTGTGGCCAGCACTGCTGTTATTGTTGGTCAGAGCGGCCAAACTGCTGTTCAGTCTACTCCAACGAAAATCACAAACGACACCTGCAATAGCTCCCCCATGTGGGAGAAGGCATCTGGTTCTTCCTCAGCAAAAAAGCCTTCAAATGAAGGTCTAAACTCAATGCTTCCCAGCTTTGACTTCTTCACTTCTGAGGATTTCCCAGATGGAGATAAAACAGCAATCTCCATAGCTTTCAAGAAGTAAGGCATATTTGTTTGTTAAAACTGCACTACAATGTTAGATATTTTCTTTTCTTTGCAAGTTTTAAAGAAACCAATTTCACGATAAACATATGCTTTAAAATTTTTATTGGAAATTTTGATTATTGTGTTAATTTTTTTTGTCCGTCTTGATAAAAGTCACAAATCTTTTAAATCTTTTAATGTTTGCAGTTGTTTTTTTTATGTTGAGCAGTGCTCTTAATCTATTTTTCATTCTTTAGGTTTCTCGAGGAGCACAACAAAAAAGCTAAATGTGCTCGGGAAAATGGGAAGAAAATAGAGGCAAATGATGTGGATACTGAAAAAGATAAGTTGAATTGGAAATCGTTTTCGGCAGGTGTTTCTGATTCTGGAAATGAAAAGCACAGAGAAAACACCGAGAGGGAAATGTCTCTGAACAGCTTTTTGAAAGCCTCGCCGTTTTTGTCTGCCGAGGTGGAGGAAGACGATGAGATGACATTTAAACCGTCTTCAAAACCCCTCCACAAAGAGTGGCATAATGGTGAGGAGACCTTTAAACCAAAGAGCAAAGTCACTCATTCAGCTCAGAAACTGTTTGAAGCATGCTTCAGCAAGTGGCAGAATGCTGCTTTCTCACAGTTCGAACACGACACCGCAGTAGAGGAGACATATCGGAGTGAAAAGCAGGAGAAAGCCATTGCTGCTGCTTTGGCTAAGAGAGAGTTAGCAACAAAGTTTGAAGAAGTGTCTCCAAAAGTGAGCTGTAAAATGAAAAAGATGGAAAAATCTCCATCTGATCAGTGTTCGGACCCACCACTGAGACAGAAGTCTGACAGAGAGTCGTTTACAGTTCGAGGGGTTGACTCGCCTCCTATGGCTTCAAGAACACAGGAAGCAAAATTTAATGTAAGAATGGATTACATTGGAGATAATCTTACAAGGTAAGAAATTCATTGAGTATTTTGAGATTTAATGTCATCTACAACCCTATTTCTAGGAAAGGTTGCGATGCTGTGTAAAGTTTAATTGAATTTTTTGAAGCCTAAGCTTTTTTCCCCTGAATGTTTACATGTAAACACTTGTTTACGGGTACAGTAGAGGTATAATGCAGTCCATTTCCCTTGGAAGTCGAAACTTGGAAATGACATCAGACCCAGTTTTACTGTGTTGGAAAATCAGTAGGATTTGCTACTGGTTGTGTTTGGTGACCAGGATATATACTGTTAGAAATACAAGGCTATTGGATTTCTATGCATTCTGCGTATTCAAACCAACTACTGCTAATGCCACTACTCTGTATGTGTGACTGGATTACTGAGTTGTAAAACAACAAATAACAGTTCATTACAGAAGCTTTCACATTTAATGTACTTATCAGCCACATTGGATTTTGAGGTCTGGGCTGGTCAAGAATCTCTGACATTCCGAGTCAGATCTCCAACTTTCCAGTAATTTTCTTTTCTTTTTTTCTTTTTTTTTACTTGGAACTTGGAAAATCCAGCCTCGAGTCCAAATAGAATACACTACAACAACTTGTCTTTTGTAGATGCAGCACAAGTTTTGAGTTTTGCCAAGTTTCAGCCATGAATCACATGTTACAGTTCCACCTGAAGACCTAAGTATCATTATTCTTTGTTTCGATTCTCTGGAACTTTTAATGATTTTATGCTTTTTATGTTTTTAGTGATCAGTTGTAAACACTGTTGTTGAAACTGCTCATCTACATAATCTTATAGAGGCGACTGCATCACCATCAAACGTGGGCTTCAACCGATTTGCTAAATTTTGCTTTTGCTTGAATCAAGACTCATGCAGCATCCCAACTTTTGAGGAAACAGGGCTGTAATCAGATTTTTTTTGAGTCATTTTCGCTTTCAATAAAAGGAGCGATGAATCAAAGTGTTTCTATTGTTTCAGTTCTTCAGATGTTTTAGCTGAAGAGCGGCAGCTGTCCCAGGACCTCGTGCAGTCCTCAAAAAAACCGCAGGAGTTCCGCTCCATCTTTCAACATGTTCAGGTTGCTCAGCCACAGAAGAGCCCCTCTGAACTGTTTGCTCAACACATTGTCACAATCGTTCACCACGTCAAAGGTGAGTCGTGGCTTTGTAAAGTCTGCCTCGATTTCGACACCATTTCACACAAGTTTTCTTAGTAAAGAAAAAAAGACGTTCACTTTTTCATATCATTTTCTCACTAAGCTGCACAAAGTATGCTCAAATAAATAGCCCAGTCAGTGGAAACTGTAATTTACAAACTAAAGATCTGTATTTTTCAGTAAGAGGCAGTGCAGGATGTTCAGAACAGTCTTAATAAATGGACCGCATACATCCACAGCCTTTACTTTTTAACATTTGCCCTCTCAGCCCAACACTTTCCGTCCTCTGGCATGACTCTGAACGAGCGATTCACCTTGTACCAAAGGCAAGCTGCAAAGAAGGAAACGATGAAGCCAAGAAAAAGCCCAGAGATACACAGGTAGAGTCGCCTATAGAGTGACCCCTCTCACCTTCAGTGTGCTGTGGCTTCACGTCTTCTTTTAAACAGCTTTCAGGTATTTCTGTCACCTTTCACCTTTCTCTATCTTGGACTATTAGTTCTCATGCTTGATGGAGGTCAGTTTTGTAGCAGTTTTGCTTTGCTTTTTGTCCTTTTTATGTTGCTCCTCTGGTTCAGTGTTGTTGTTTCTTGTGGTGGTGGTTATGGTTCATGCAAAGACCTAATATTGACCGTCAGTTGTGTTTCTTTCCCACAGGAGAATTGATGTGTCACCAAGTGCTTTTAGGAAACACCCTCAGCTTTTCGAGGCGATGAAAAGCTCAGAGGATGGGACTTACAAGGTGACTGAACACTTTGCAGTATGACATTTGTTGGAAAGACAAGCGAGCGAGCCAGATGCCTTTAGACTGCACCATTTTAAAACCTGTGGCATTCCCTGAAGGGAGATGGTCAAAGTCTAAAAAAGAAAAACTTTGACCTTCTTGTTTGTTGTATCGCCTCACGTGGTGAATTGTTTGTATTGTGGCACTAGCCTGGCTGAGGCTAATAAATCAAATATGGTCAGGAAAGGAAGCATCTGTGCCAAAGGTGTCCAAAGGACTCTTAACAAATGTCTTTGTAAGTATTCTCTGAAATATAAAATGAAAAATAACATTATTAAACAATCAACTTCAACAACCAACACTTTATGCACATGTCCTAATATTCACATGCTCAAAGAGATAGTCCAGGATTCAGAGGGAAGGTTATAAACAGTGTTGTAGATAGCACTGTGAATGACCTCAGTTTGGAGAAGTAAATTTTAGCTGTGACTGGATTTATGAGCTAATGGTTTTTCCAAGAGGAGCCAGGACTAAAGTGAATAGCTGCCATATTAAAACCATACCTTTGTTGTTAACTTTGCTCTACATGGTTCAAACTGTATCATATTTCAGCTGTAATACCTCATCTGGCAAAACTGAGGACAATTTAAAGGTTTATAAAATGGCATTCTCACAAATTGCTGTAAAGTGATCAAAATTAAAATGGTTTAAGACGGCCGCAATCCTTTGTGGTCTAACAGCTCCTCAGATTCAGTCGAAAGGAATTAATATTTCTTAAAACTGAAGTAGTTCAAAGAACTATTTACAACAGGTAATTTACTATTGTCTGTAACCTTTTACTTCATGAGATCTGAACTATCTCTTTGGCTGAGTTAATCATATCTGTTGCTTTTGAATGCAAAGAACACAGAAAAATGAGTAAGATGAAATCTTTGTGAACAGTTTATTTTTACGGTTATTAAAAAGCCAGAGATGGTTTTTCATTCCAAGACTTGGTGCATGTACACTGGTTTATTTTCCAATTGTTTCCCAAAGTTTGTCTCAGTATGGACAGTACTTCCTTGAGTTAACTGGACTTAACTGGATATTAGTTGGGTTGAATAGGACTGTGATCAAATTAGATGCTGCATAATGGCTTTATACAAATAAAACCAATTAAATTTGATATTTTTGCATTGTTTTCCTAGCCTTTTGTAGTTATTGGAAGTTAATGTGTGGAATGATAATCTACTGCTAAGGAGGTGAAACTTTTTTGAACTTTTTTTGTTTTGAAAAGCTTGAAAACATTTTGCTGCTAAAGCATTGGAAACGCAACTGAGGTAGAAAATTCATAGAGGTTTTGTAAAAAATGGAAACGCTTGTTGTTGATACCATTTGTTGCTTTAAGATTCTCTCAAACAAATTGACATATCCTACAAGAACTTGAATGCAGCAGTCAGAATGTCTCATGATACAACTTTTAAATAAAGCAAAACTGATTTAATGTCACTGATGACACACTGTTAAGCTGAGGCAACATCTCAAGTTGATTTTCATACTGTACTGACGTAGCTGCAAAAAACACGTTTTTTTATAATTGTATTTTATGAATAGTTGAAGATAAAAGTCGCCCTGAGATCTAAATCACTGCATTGTTCATGTTGTCTGTCTCTTATGAGTTTTTCACATTTCAATTGACTTTACTGTTTAGTCTCCACAGCAGCTTTGCAGAGAGCAGTCAGATAGCTTCTACATGCTAATCTGAAGTCTATCCACGACGTTGTGATCTTTGTTTTGATTTATTCAGGATGCTGCAGAAAACGTTAAAGCGGATCCAATGGACCTTCGTTTGGACATTGAGCGTCGTAAAAAATATTCCACGCATCCTAAAGATTACAGTCAGGATCGGGGAAGAGATGCTGGGAATTCGCCCGATTTTGATCGGGGGAGATCTGAGGAAATATTTTCCAAATTTTGCAAGATACCAAAGTACGTTTAATCATTGCTACTTTAATGTTTTGAACTATTTCCACAGAAACGTTTTACCTTTTTTTTTGTAATATTTCGTTACATATTTGCCTTTCGTTTTGTAGAAAAAATTACAAGAAGCGATCTCGCTCAAGTTCATCTTCTTCCTCCTCGTCTTCCAAATCCCAAAAAGATGAACATTTACATGACAGTTTTGAGGTGAAGGGTGACTTCTTTAACAAGGCTCAGCTTGATCAAAGAGAGTCACCAGGAAATGCTGAAGGAGCACAGCCACCAGGAGGCGTGGTGAGTTTATTCAATTTGGTTGCCACAGTTTGATCAGTGTCAGCTCTTTCTTTATAATGTTTGAAATCTTTTCCTCTAGTTTCAGAAAATACAAATCCGTGGGAGGGGTTGGAGCAAAGGCAGTAATCAAGGAAACAGTTCATACAGTAGCCAAATGAACAGGGCAGGATACCCAGAAAATGAAGACTGGGATCCAAAAGTCACTCCCAAGAGCAAAGCATACTACTTGGTATGACTGATTTCCAAAATCACTAATGTCCACTTCATGCTATCACATGGAACCACTCACCAACAGATTTAATAGGCATACCTGTTCAGCTGCTTGTCAACACAAATAGCTAATCAGACAATCACATGACAGCCAATCAAAGCATTTAAGCCATTAGACATGTTGAAGATGACTTGCTTAAGTTCAAAGCGAATATCAGAACGAGGAAGAAAGAGATTCAAGTTATATGTTTGTTGATACCAGACAGGCTGGTTTGGCTATTTCAGAAACTGGATTTTCACATACAACCATCTCTACCAAGACTTATATAAGGCAATAGTTTTCTGTTTCCTTACTGTCCAGTGTTGATGAGTCTGTGTGAGTTGTTCTTGGCTGACAGTGGCACACATTGTGGTCTTTGCCTCTGTAGCCTTCAGGGTTGGATGTTCAGAGATGGTACTCTGCATATCTCAGTTGTGATGAGTAGTTATGTGTGCAATTTCTGTTTTCAACAACTGCTGCTCACAAGTAGCCTGGCCCTTGCCTTCCTACACAGTTCTGCTCAATTCTAGTCTCGCTTCACTGCTCCGTCTGGGATTTCTCCCATAGACAAGGATTTCTTTGGGAGCATTTCGTCCGGGCCAATCAGAGAACAGAATGTCAATTTTCTGCGCACTGTCAGCTTGTAGTTTATTTTACCTGGGCCAATCAGCAAACAGAAGGCGGAGTTATGAACAACGTTGATTTTTTGTGCAGTGTCTGCTAGTTAGTTTAGCATACGGCAGTGGAGGAAGTGAATGAAGCCAGTCTGTGTTGATAAGGCTTCCAAATTAAAATAAATTGGTCTGACAAAGCAGCAGCTCTCATTTACAGCCGTCTCGTTTGGCTCGGTACTTTTCGCCTCTCAGTAGGGTTGTTTACAGCACACCCAATTTCCGGTTAGCTTCTTAGCTTAGCCTCCTTCACAGTGACACTTGCGGCCAACCAATCCAATCATTTTAAACTTCAACAGAGGCCACRCCTCTAGCAAGAATCGCTTCTCTATAGCCAAGAGCAGTGTTGCCGGACGTACGATAATTATCGTATTTGTACGATAATTTTACCCTCTGTACGATGTACGATCAATAATTCCAAAAATCCCATAATGTACGATAATTTGACTGCTCCAATGTGTGATGTAATCAACCCAACACGCGGCTCGCTGACACGAGAGGTGGCGCATTGTGGAACACAGCGGTGCTGATTTAGCGACTTCCTCGCTATATTTACAGACTTTTCAGAGCCTCTAGAGACTGTTATTCAGAACAGTGACTAGTGAAAATCTAGCGACTCTTTTTCTGGTGTTATTGAGACTTTGAGAGACTCTGCCGTGAACGCATTTCTCCATTGTGCTGCTGAGAGCTCCTCCTCCCCGGTCCCAGAGCACCGACAGGAGGCTTCTTCATGCTGCGTGTCTCCCTGCTGCAGGTAGATCCATCCCATCCAGACATGAAATGAATACTGCTGCTGCAACTGATCCATGATGGGATGTTAATAAAAAACATTTCTATGGCTAAAATAGATCCCTTTTGCTGGTCCCAAGCCAAAGGAGCAACAGAAGAAACTATTTTTTGTTCTCTTGACATACTGTCTCTAAAGAGAAGGCTGGCTGCCGCRACGCAGTCACCAGTGTTTTTTTACCCTATTAAAACTCTACTGCTTAGGCTACCAGCTGGTCAAAGAATCAAACGCCCATATGAGACACAAAAAGGAAGATTCATATATTGAGTTGAATGTAGAATCTGTCTCTAAAATAGTTATGAAAGTGTTTATTTATGTAGTTTAAAATTTAACCTGCAAATACACCCGAATGCAGGGAACAGCACCCATTTCATTCAAAATTTTCTGGGAGGAAACCCCCAGACCCCCCTCACACGTTATGGTTACGATGGCAACTATTAGCAGCAAAGATAAATATAATAGTACTTAGGTGAAAGMAAAAATAACTGTAAAATCAAAAAGAAAAGGTGGGACTGAGAAGGTGAGGGTATAAGCAACATTTACACTTAATAACATCCAGGAGTCATCCAGAGGCTATTTTTTAAAGAAGAAAACAGACTTTGGAGGCTTGCAGATTAAATTTGCTCAGGATGCACTCAATTTATTTCTTGACTAATCAAAAGTACAATAAACTACATGATTTCTTCTTTTCCTGATTTCATTTTAACTTTGCCTATTTTAATTTACATTTTATTCTAGTCATTTTATCTAATATTTATTTTTATTTGGAGCATTTCCCCAGACTCCATGTTTTGTTCTTGTTTACAATAAAGCTTTTGTAAAAAAAATTATAAAAAAAAGACACCTAACAGTCAGATACAGTGCTTTTTAACTTTATTATAAACAAAAGAATGTGCAGTTTGTTGAATACAGAGCACTTATGAGCTGAGCAGGATGTATTTGTAAATTCGAGCCTCTCTAGAATGTAACTTGGGTGTGTACGATAACTTTCCTCAAAATACGATAATTTTGAGCTGCTGATATGATAATTCAACATTTCCCATCTGGCAACACTGGCCAAGAGTCCAGACCCTCGTACGAAGCAAAGCGAAGGACAAGGGACTGGTTTTTATCAGGCTAGCTCACTGGAGTTTTTTTTTCCAGACCATTTTATGTAAATGCTAAAGATGTTTGTGTTTAAAAATCCCAGGTTCTGAAATGCTAAGATCAGCATGTCACTTATTTCATTACTTCCCCATTTAGATGCTCAGTCTAAACTTCAGCAAGTCATCTTCACACTGTTTAGAAACCTAAATGCATTTAATTTTTGCAGAGTTACATACTGTATTTATATTTACAAGCGATTGAACAGGTGAAGTTGAGAGTGACAGTAGCTTCTTGTTTGCTTTACAAGTGTTCTTTCCTTATTTGTTACTTTTCAGCACGATGACAGAGAGTCCACATGGCTGGAAGCCCAAGAGCGAGGTCAGGGAAGCCTTCTTCATGGAAGAGCACGATTCATCATCCGAAAGGCCACTGGCAGTACCAACACGATTAGCCCCAAATGGACGCATGATAAGTTCCAGGCCAAACGGGAGCAAGGGGGCAAAGACAGAGAGGAGACAGATCAGGACCACAAGGAGGAAGACATTGATGGACAGAATGCTTGAGCAGTCAAGCAATCATGAAGAATCTTAATATTGTTTGTGTCTTTAAGATAGAAAAGATCCATTTTATCCACTATCATGCTTCCATTTCAAAGCAGGATGCTTAATTTCATTCTATAAAACAACCATCAGGAGAATCTTTGTGACTAGTAGAAGCACTGTTTTTGCCTTTTGGTTCATGTTCTTTCATTCAGCGTTTTCGTCAACTTTAGATGTTTTTTTATTGAGGTGAAGTGCTTAAAGGCTTCTGTATGTTGAATCAGTAAAAAAAGTTACATTACATCATAATCAGACATTTAGAGAAAATTTAAATAATGTTTTTCTAAGCATGGACAATTGTTTTATTTAACCAGTAGAATAAAATATTGATTTCCCATCCATGCATTTGAAAAGTGGTGCCTTATCTAGATCCACTAAAGAAGCACTGTGTCCACACCCTGATCTGACAGTGGGACCAAACTCTGCAGGGTCAAAGGTTATACAACAGTCCATCATCACCAAACATCAACACCAGCTGGAAATAGAAGAACTGTCAGACTACTTTCAGATATTTTGCTTGATCTTATGCACCACTTCCAACCATAATAAGAAAAACTGAACTTTTGTTGTTGTTTTTTTGTTTGTTTGTTTGTTTGTTTGTTTTTTGCATGGAAAGACTGGAGTTAGGGTTTTGTAGTAATTGAAGATTTGTCTTTATTGCTTTAAACACTGAAATATTTTCATTAAAGTGATTGCAAACCTTTGAGTCCAACATATTAATCAGTTAGGTAAGTTGTGTTAACATTAGTACCTGTGAAAAGCTGGATTTGATCTGTCTGTAGTTTGTAACAAACACAAAAAAGAGCTTGAATAATACCGTAGTCATTTATTGTCATTTTCTAGAAAGAAACATTGTTCTTACTTGTATTTTACAGGCCAATAAGATTGTAATGACCATGGAACTGTTTAAAGTTTACCTTTCAGATTGATGTTGCTTTTCTTGTTGTCACTGTTTTTCAATGAGGTTGTAAATTAAATACACAAAAATGATCTTGGATGTTTTGATGTGAGTTACTGAACCAGAACACCCTGTGATTTTGGAAAGCACCTAATATTTTAATATCGTCATCTTTAGACATTTCTTATTGAGGTGAAGTGCTTAAAGTACTGTATGTTGAATCAGTAAAAAAAGTTACATCATTATCCTAATATCTTGGCGGCACGGTGGCTCAGTTGGTAGAGCTGATGCCAATCAGCAAGAAGGTTGCCGGTCCAAATACCGGCCCGGGGAGTCAGGGACCTTTCTGGGTAGAGATTGCATGTTCTCTCACAGCATGCGTGGGTTCTCTCCGGGCACTCCGGCTTCCTCCCACAGACCAAAAACATGACTGTTAGGTTAACTGATAACTAAATAGTCTGTAGGTGTGAGTGAGAGAGTGAATGGTTGTTTGTCTCTATGTGTGGCCCTGTGACGGACTTGCGACCTGTCCAGGGTGTACCCCGCCCCTCGCTCTGTGACTGCTGGATATAGGCACCAGTGGTCCACACGACCCTGAAAGGAAGAAGTGGGTATAAATGATGGATGGACACCTAATATCTTGGGCTGTTAAAATCAAAATTTTCATGAACCACTCTGAAACTTTTAAGATTGCTGTGGTTTTAAGATGATAGTATCCATTTTAATCAGAATTAAACAGAACTGAAATTCTGCAAACCGACGTTCAGAGAGCAGGTAAGAAATACAGTAATTTGAACTTTTTCTCAGAATCCATCCAATAAAAAATTCTTCCAAAATTGGTCTTTTATGTCTTTATTTGGACACTGACCACTTTTCTTTAACAATTCTGAACGACAAAATCGGAAGATATACTCCTTGTGACCTCTTAAAAGCGTCACAGGAATGTGACTTCTTGGAAGTAAAAGATAAAGTAAGGTGTGGTGCTGTGTAAAAGTACAGAACATTCAGCATCAGTTTGTTAAAACTTAGATAATTTCCACAGAAAACACACATTTCAAACTTGATTTATTAAATCCTGAAAAATGAAGGAGTCTTTTCTCTCTTTCACATGCTTTTAAACAGTGAGCTGACATAAAATAAATGCTTATTTGAATGCAATTTTAGATGATGTGAATCTGTACAAGTGATATTTGATAGTAACATGCTGTACTATTTGTTTTCATGAACCCACATTTGATTAGGATTAACCGGTGCTGAAAATCTTGGATGTAATTTGTTTCAAGCTTATTTATGTTAAAACATTAACTTCTGCAGATATAAGACAGTAAGAAATCATGATGGAAAATTAAATAATAAGGAAGTTTTATTTGCTTTCTACGGATTTTTTTCTTTTGCGTTCCCACGCAATACCTTTGCGTTCCCTCACAATACTTTTGCGTTCCCTCGCAATATTGTTTTGCGTTCCCACGCAAAAGATTGTTTTGTATATGAACTGAATTAAATCAGACTTTTATTTTGAAATATTCAGTTACCAAAACAGGATGTGTCGCCACAAGTTCGTGAAATTGACATTGATGTTGCGTGGCTGCACTATGTTAAAATATCAGCATATGACATATTTCCATGAGTGGCTGTTTGATATATTCATTCTAAAGATTAATTAAAGCAGTAGGCTAACTTACTAATGGTGAACATGTGAGTTTGCTAATAAACCAGCAGGCACAACAGTGATAAACTACTTTTGCGAGGGAACACAAAAGTATGTGAGGTAACGCAATACTATTGCGTGGGAACGCAAATGAAAAAAAATCTCCCATGTCCCCTCGCGGGCTCCGTAGCCTTCTTCTGCTGTGTTTCATAATACAGGTATATTCACTCACCGGCCACTTTATTAGGTACACCTGTCCAACTGCTCGTTAACGCTTAATTTCTAATCAGCCAATCACATGGCGGCAACTCAGTGCATTTAGGCATGTAGACATGGTCAAGACAATCTCCTGCAGTTCAAACCGAGCATCAGTATG